CCCTACGACCCACAGTTGGATCTATGTCTTGTCAAAAGCCTTTGAATCCTTAACAATTTCATCCAAAAGCTCATAATCATTCCATGAACAATCTTCAGCATCACTTCCTACAGGGGACACAAGCATTAAAACCCAAAGAAATGCAGAGTACTGGCCCACAGAAGCCTCCATCCCTCAGTTCAAGACACAAGAGGCAAAGTTACAAAAGTCATAGGTTTGGTCCAGAAATAACCAATATCCAGTTTTAATTCTTCCCTAGAAAGGCCACAATGATCCATTAAGGGTCCCCCCATACCCCATAAAAATCCCAGAAGTAAAGAAGAAGTCCAACCAGACTGGTAAAGGCCACTTGAGGATAAAAGCATCTAGTAATAGCTGCCCAAGTGTGGTGTGACGTGGGCGTTGGGGTGGCGAGGGACGTTGGGGTTTGGATAAATGTTTCCTGCAGGGGAGGTCCAATAAGGTGAGGCTGCTCCAAAGAAACTGGATGATGTGACAGGCATAGAAGAAGGGTGTGGCGGTACAAAGTTCACCTTCTGCTGGTGGGCATGGTAGGATGGCATGTAGGAGAGATCCGACGGGTACTTGTACATGGATGACTCGGTGGGATGAGGCTGAAGGGCCTGGGCAATGCCATGAAAGTCAAATTTGTAGGCATACCTCTTGCCATGCACTTTGGTCATAATGTTCTTGTCGTAGTAGTATCGCAGGGCTCGGCTCAGCTTGTCATAATTCATGTTGGGCTTGCTCTTGCGTTCGCCCCAGCGCCGAGCCACCTCGTCAGGGTCCGTCATCTTGAACTCCCCATTGGTCCCTTCCCACGTGATGCAGCTGGCGTTGGAACTGTCCGACAGCAACTCCAGGAGGAACTGCCACAGCTGGATCTGCCCACTCCCTGCGAGGCACAGCCAGAGAGGAAAGGAAATGACATGGGGTTTCCTGCTCAGGGGCAAAGACAAAGGCAGGAAACAGAAGGACTATCTCGATCTTGACTGGGAACTGCTCCTTCAAGCCTTAGAAAGTCCTGACGTAGGAACGGATAAACTGTTCCCAGCAAACACGTTAGTCAACCCTTTGTTCTGTTCGTGGCTCTGAGGTCAGATTAGATTTCATAATGGTCTCCTTTGGCCTTAAGATCTAGGGCTATTCATCAACAGAGCTTTGCCCGAGCACACTGTGCTGCTGCAAAGCTTCTCACTGACCAGTTAACACAGTATGTATCAGGTCTCGTTTGCTCACTGTTTACCATGGATATTGTTTTGGATACCACCAGTTTTCTTTCCAGTTAGTGAGCTGAGTTACATGAGATGATTTGATAAGACTCCTGGTTTTATTCAGTGATACTAATGATTAAGAGCCTTATGAGGATGTTTCCTTACACAATGTGTACAAATTTTCATAGTTCAAGCACAATTTACTCCAGATCTTATTCCCCAAAATAATGGGAATGTTTTCTGCAGGTGACATGCTAGGGACAGTTATTACAGAGCAACTTTCAGAGGTGTTTGTGCTTTCATTCATTCAATCCACAGCAGACAGTGAGAAATGAACCTGTACTGCGAATCTGAGAGATCAGCACATAAATACCCGATAAAAATCTTCTTATGGAATGCTGGGCTTGGGTAAGGATATTCAGGATGGTGATTTGGCCCTGACAAAGTTGATGTTGCACCACTTTTTCTCCCTTTTCTGTAAGGAGTTTTGCAACATCACTTGTGAGAGCAGAACTGCTCAGATCAGTGGCTCTCACAGCCCAAAGCAGAGCACAGCAGCCACTCATCCAGTGCAGGCTGGAGCAGCAGGTTACAAGGAAAATTGACTCAAATGGGGCTTTGAAAGGTAAAGGTGAACTCACCTGGGTTGGCCAGACGGCTGCTGGTGGGCCCCAGGATTTGGTAGGGATCTACAAAAAACACCCAACAAGCATATCTTAAAAAATGGTTCATCCAAAAGAAACAACAGGTCATTATTGCTTATTCTAGAAACCACTTCAAGCTTCCATTCTCTTTCTTTTGTCTTACTGCACCTTCTCCTAGGGCCTGGAATAGATCTGATGTGCCCCTTAATTCTTTCCTAGTAATTATTTATGGACTGAATTTATATCTGAATCTGTATCTGAAGGGGCTCCAGGGAAGCTGCAGAGGGTTAGGAACTGCAGGGACAGGACAAGGAGGAATGGGGAGAAATTGGAAGAGGGAAATTTAGATTAGCTATTAGGAAGGAGTTTTTCCCTGTGAGGGTGGTGAGACACTGTCCCAGGTTGCCCAGGGAGGCTGTGGCTGCCCCAACCCTGGCAGTGTTCACAGCCAGGTTGGCTAAAGCCTTGAGCAACCTGCTCTGGTGGGAGGTGTCCCTGCCCAGGGCAGGGGGTTGGGGCTGGATGATCTCTAATCTCCATTCCAACCCCTAAAATTCTATGATTCCATGTCTCCAAAGTGGCACAGCCTTTCTGGCCCTGGTTTCACACTTGCCTGCTTTCATAGTCTGTAATCTCTTTGGACATACCTGCACTGATGTGGCAACTAGAAAAGATGAAACATGGAACAAAGAAGTGTGGGATAGGAGAAAGTAACAAATCAGAAGCAAATATATTTCCCCTAATAAAAAGAGCTGGGCAGCAGATGAGATTCTCAGATTTGCTTGTTAGCAGCTGAGCTCACTGCCCTCTGAGGTCAATGAAATACTCACCCACCTCTCCCTTCTGAAGCAAACAGAGCACTAGACAAATGAGAGTACCAGGAGTTTGTCACTGGCTCCACTGAGACTGAGTGTTTCTTGCAAGCCCCACAAAGCATTTATTAGGAATGAATTCCTTCCCTTTTTGTGGGGCCTCCTCAGCCCTAATCTCTACACTTCTCCTTTGCCTCTCTCTGGTTGTGGTGATTTGGATCTATAGCATTTGCTCGTGAATTGAATCGATGCCAAAAGAACCAACCCTTGGAAAAAAAAGAAGGGGGATAGAAAGCAGCTGTGCAAAGCAGAGAAGGTGGGATTTAGCCTTTCAAAGGGCCCTTGGGAAAGCAGCAGGAAACACCACTGTTCTTATTTGGTTTTCTTTGAGGCTGGGGAAGCCCTGGGGATTCTGTTTGGAGATACTTCCACTGACCACAGCTGGGGCAGAGGTGAGGAGGTGACACACAGCCCTGTAGCCCTGACTGCCACACAGCATGTTGAGATGCTCCAGGGCAGATGCAGCCACTGCAAGGTGCCACACATGACCCTGATGACTCAAGGATGTTCCTCCTGAATGGGGAAGGACAGTGCAGCAGAACAGAAATGCTTAGGAACAGTTGCTGGCAACACTTGGTCACAGTTGAGTCATTATCCCGAGACTTCCCTGTCAGGCTGTGCCTGCCTGGCCTGTGCCCAGTCCTGGCACATAAAACCACCCAAGCTGGCACAAATCTACTCAGAGCAGAGGCAAAATCAGCACTCACCTGGCTGTGGCCGCTGCTGTTCTGTTGTCTTGTTCACATTTTGTGTCCCTGCAACAGGAGGACCTGGAGAGACACAGAAACAGCCAATGTGACCCAGGACACAAGAGGAGGATTGGGCAGAGAAAAGGCAAGTACAAGATACATCAAACAGGAATAATAGTGACTGGGAAGGAAAGATTTCTAAGCCTAAGAGCTGATGGATTTGAAATTGCACTATTAAAATTCAGAGATTTCACTTCACTGTAAAATGCAGATGAGGCAAGGAAAATATTATCTAGATATTAATCTTCTATGTATGCAGCAGGGATGAGGAAAATATGATATAGACATTGTTTAATTTTCTAAACCTGCAGATGAGACAAGGAAAATCTTCTGTAGATGCTTTACTAATTTTCTGTCATTGCAAGTTAACTTCCATTCAAGTTTATAACTTCCATTCATGCCTAGTTTAACTTCCATTCATGTTTTTAACAGAAAATTGGATTTTTTAAAAACCATATAAATCCTGACCTTCTTCCACACTGGATTTTGTTTCAATACTTTTTGCAAATGCAAATTCTTTTTTTTTTCAGGCAAAAAAGAATTGGGATTTATCCAACATTTTGTTGAGGATATCATAGTCATTTCTAAAATCACTTCAACATTGAGATCTGTTCCTCCTCTTTATATCATTTCATGACAGAAAACTGTAACTCAAAAAATAATCTTGACATTTAGAGTATGCATAGCTTGGAAAGCTGCAAAGCAGAGGAAGCATAACCTCCCAACCAGGTTCTGCCACATTTTTTTACACCCAATAGTATCTTGCTGGGAGCAGATTGCCCATCCTGCACAGCTGCACAGGGTTAAGCCCAGCAGTAGAAGCAGGGGAGATGGGGCTCAGGGTCAGATGGATATATCAGCTAGAACAGAGCTTTTAGGGACAGGCAACTGATGAGGGATGTCACCCAGACTCAGGGACACCCAGTAAGAACAAGATGTGTGAGTAGAACTCATGCAGAATGGCCCTATCTGCCTGCTGGACTTTGCCTAGAATCTTCCTTTCTGAAAGGTGGTAAGAAACTCTTAGCATCTGCCCAAGCTTTTTCTCCCTGTTCCTAAAAACATCACCCCAGCCTGCAGGTAGGTGGTTAACACAGAGCCTGTTTGTCCAGAGGATTTGCTCCTGGCCCCTTCATTAAGTCCTGCAAGTTATAGAGGTTTGGGCTGTCATCTTCAATATACACAATTCAGTAATAAAAATATTGCTGTTGGTTTCTATTTCTTTCCATAACATAATTCCAGCTCTTATCTCACTGACTATCCCCAAATCTTCCACCCTTCAATGCTCCTCACCCAAGCCCATCCTCTCCCACGGTCTCATTTTCATCTTCCATTGCACAGTTTATGATTCCCACTGGGACAACTTACTTTTGGAGAGGCCAGAATTCATATTATTGCCCCATCCTGTTCTGACTGCATCATAGGAGGGATCTAATGACAAAAGACAACAGGCACAGAGGGGTTGAAATCAACTCTTCCTAGAGAAAAACTTGCAAGAATCTGACTTTGTATCATGGTCTCAACTGGCTTGGTATTATCTAGGTCTTTTTTATTCCTCTCCCACATCCTCTGTGCTCTCCTGGGCCCCTCACAAAGGCAACAGGGTGTAAATAGGGGTGTAAATGCAGCAGTTGGGACTGTTAGGGCAATTTTTTGAGCCTGACATGTTCTGATCATAGAATCCAGTCACTGCACTCAATGAAATTGGTCTGTCCAAAAGGAGACCCCTTTTCTCTTACCCCAAGATCCACAAGACCATGGAGATAAAAGGAGGTTGAGATGAGCCCAGTTACTACTTCCTGGACAATAAATGGGGATATTAAACCCAGGGAGGCCAAGGACTTGAGGAGGTTGTTTTAAGGAGAGGAAAAAGGGGGAAAAGCTTCTCAAGTGACATTCCAACTGCCCCAGTGCCCATGGCACTGGAGTGAGCAGTGCCTGGAACCCTGAGGGGCTGCCCAGTCCGGCAGGGCTGCTCTGCTCCCTGTGGATACATCCCAGGCACTTGCACATTCCTCCCGGCGCTGGGAAAGCCGCTGCAGCTTTGAAATTACAGCCTTCGAGTTATTGGCATGGAAAGGAAAACATAGAGGGACAGCAGAGGGGAGGGGAGGGCAGGGAGGGGGAGAGAAAAGAGGAGGAGGGAAGAGAGGGGAGTGGGGGGAAAACAGAGCTCATGTAATCTGCCCGGTTTTATTTTTATTTTACTTATTTGTTTTTTTCCTTTTTTACAGAAACCACAAACCCCACTGCAAATAGATCAGACTGAAAAACAAACCACTACGGTTTCAGCACGGTACAAAGAGTGGGATGGGACAGCTCTGGAAGAAGGAGGGGACAGTCCCAGCCACACTGGCCCAGGAGGGAGATCTGTCCCAGCAGAGAGCTTTGTTCTAGAAGAGAGCTCTGTCCCAGACTGGAGCTCTGTCCCAGAAGAGAGCCCTGTTCCAGATGGGAGCTCTGCCCCAGATGGGAGCTCTGCCCCAGGAGACAGCCCTGCCCCAGAAAAAAAACTCTCTCCTGAAAAGGATAGCCTGTCCCCAGAAGGGAGATCTGTTCCAGATGGGAGATCTCTCCCAGATGGGAGATCTGTCCCAGGAGGGAGATCTGCCCAAGAAAAAAGCTCTGCCCCAGAAAAAAGCTCTCTCCTGAAAGGGACAGCCTGTCCCCAGAAGGGAGATCTGTTCCAGAAGGGAGATCTGTCCCAGGAGGGAGATCTGCCCAAGAAAAAAGCTCTGCCCCAGAAAAAAGCTCTCTCCTGAAAGGGACAGCCTGTCCCCAGAAGGGAGATCTGTTCCAGAAGGGAGATCTGTCCCAGGAGGGAGATCTGCCCAAGAAAAAAGCTCTGCCCCAGAAAAAAGCTCTCTCCTGAAAGGGACAGCCTGTTCTGTCCCAGACTGGAGCTCTGTCCCAGGAGGGAGATCTGTCCCAGAAGGCAGCCCTGCTCCAGAAGAAAGATCTCTCCTGAAAGGGACAGTCTGTCCCTTCTGCTGTGTCTCAGGCAGGCAACTCTGTCCCAGAAGGAAGTTCTGTCCCTGCTCCCATGTCTGGGCTAGGAGCAGCAAGGTTGGACACTGGCTTGCAGCCTGGTCCTGCCAGGGGACTTTATCCCCCAAGCTAAGTCCTCAGCAGTTGTCCTAGCTGTAAATGAGATGCTGTTTGCCTGGGTGGCATTTTCCTTGCTGGAAAACCATCATGCAAATCCTGACTTCATCTGACTGAGCCACAGCTCTATCAGTGACTGAAATCAGGAGAGTGGAGTCGAGGTCTGAAGCAACCACTGCCTTTTCCCATGTCCTTTCTTGCAGCCAGGCTCTGACTTTCAGTTGTCCCCTGGGATATCCCTCTGAAGGATTACAACTAGAGCTATTAGAGCAATGTTTTGGGAAATACTTTGAAAAAAACACCGAGTTCTGCATTGTGAAAGGCAAAACCTTCAGCAATTTCCACCCATGGAGATGCTAATGTAGATTTGGGTTAGTTCAATCAATAGATAGTTTTGCCCTATTGTAATGTTGATGGAAATGTCTCATGGTGATCCTGGCAAAAACAAAGGTGCCAACAGAAAAATTCTTTTCAAAGTGGGGGAAACTTTCCTTTGCCAAAAGTAGCAAAACTCATGAGAATTTTCAATCTCCTCTGATTCTTTCAGGTCAGATCATTGGCCCAAGTGAATCAACTGCTACAAAGGGGTTGGTGGATTCAGAGGCATCAGTGGGTTTGAGTAAACAAACAGGTCATCATCTGGAGAGCTGATCCTCCTCCTCCAGATGGAGAAACTTTGTCCCAGAGGAGGAGTTTGCTTTGCTCACAGTGTCCCAGAAAGAAGGATTTAACTAACAAATGACACTATCACAGTCAGTTGTGCTGACCCTATGGATCCCTATGGCTCTTTGGGCTGTGCAGGATCAAGGTTTGGTTTTCCAGGTAAGTTTGGCTAAGGCTGGTTAAAATTATCTTTCAGAACCTCTCTGAATGTGTTTCCTTGTAGCCTGAAGCTTTAGGATGTAAAATGTCAGTTTGGAAGGACAGTGTGAATGTGTCTAAGCTCAGGTTGACGGAGATAAGTCCCTTTGCCTTAGTTTTGCCAATATAGTATGGATTATGGATTAAAGTGTGGGCATAGATAGAGGGAAACTTTGCCTTGGTTCATCCCATATAGAATGGATTATGGAGTTAAGTGTGGGCATATATAGGAGAAACCTTTGCTTCATTTTCCCTCTATAGTATGGATTATGGAGTAAAGTGCAGACAAATATAGGGGGAACCTTGTGTTGTAGGATGAGACTTAGCTCTGAGCATGACTTTGCCACAGTAAGAAGGATAAAATATGATAGTCAGCAATGTAGACACTGCTTCTGAAACAATGTGTGCACTGTAAATTTCCAACTCCTTCTCTCCCTCTCAGAAGAAAGAAAAGTCTAAATCCACTAAGCTATTTTGATTTTGTTTTCACAGAGATCTGTGCAACGTGCAAGAGCCACCCCAGCCCTCCTTGGCTTCCAGGCCCAGACCTAAAGCTGAATGTGTTTAAAGCAAACTGGAAAAGGCAGAGCCAGGGAACCTATCCAGAGCCTTGGGTTCCTGCAAAAACAATCTCATTCCCAGGACCTGACGCCCAGTGGCTCAAAGAGCTCCCACAGAACTCCAGCCAGACAGGCAGGGACAGGGAGAGTCTTATCTGTCATGAAACCCACTTGGATTTTACACCAAAACTTGCCACGCGATGGAAATTCAATTAAAAGGCTTGGCCTGAGGTTCTCTCCTGGTGTAAATCAGCAAAGAGCTACAGTGAAGTAGTCAGGGGCAAATTTATCCCAGCAAAGGATCAGGTCCCCATGTCTGGTTCAGACTTAAAAGGCTCTGTGGAACAACAGTCCTGTGACAAATGTGTGTTCAATACAAAATGGAATTAAAGAGCAGAAAATAAATCAGAGATGCTTTCAAGAAATGTCATTCTGCAGCTGTCTGGTTTCTGTCCAGCCATTCCCCAGCATGAATGCATACTCTATTATGGGCAAGGTAAAGGATATTAATAATGCTTTGCACTTTCACAGCACCTTTCAACTAAGGATCTCACAGCTTTGCAAACATTCACACTCACAGCTCGCCTGGGAAGGAGGTTAAATATCATTTTATTTATTTGCATGTATAAATGCACTTTCCTCAGGATTTAGCTGCCTTTTCCAGATGAACTGCCTTTCCCAGAAATCAGGCTGTGTGGAGCAGGCTGCAGCACTGAGCTCTGGGCCCTTTCTAGCCTTGGTCTATGCTTTCTCAACCCAAATCTTCCTTGGCTTCTACCTCTCCACCCTCTGTGCCATTTGGAAGTTCTCATCCTCTGCTGAGCTACTCCTCTTTCAAATCCTAATGATTCCTCTGGAATTAGGTGTAAATCAGAAGTAATATAGTAGTGAAATAGCCTGCCAGGCTCTGCAGAAGGCTGAGAAGAGGCTTAGAACATGGCAAAATCAGCACCAACAAGCCTAGGCATTGGGCAAGTTATTGTGTAAAGTTCAAAAGATGAGTTCAATCACCCAAAGCTCTGCAGTTTCTTCTTGTCAGAGCTCCTGGTGCAACAAAGGAAGGACTTGATGGGGGCAAGAAACTGAGGAGTGTGGCCCAGGGATCCTGTGGGATGTGAGGAGGAAGAGAAGGGCTGCTGAGAATGGGGGGTGTGAGGAGGAGAAGGGCTCCAAGGAGATTTGGCAGCTGGAGGATGGAAAGTAGCTTGCCCTAAGTCATGGAGACAGAGCCAAGAAGGGAGACAAAGGGAAAGCAGAACCAGGTGTCCTAGGGGCATCCTAGGGGATCCAGACTTGTGTGGGTTGTGAGGAGGAGAAGGGCTGCTCAGTGTGGGATGTGATGAGGAGGAGAAGAGCTGCTCAGTGTGGGATGTGAGGAGAAGAGCTGCTGAGACTCTGGGATGTGTGGAGGAGGAGAAGGGCTGCTGAGGCTCTGGGGTGTGAGGAGGAGGAGAAGGGTTGCTCAGTGTGGGATGTGAGGAGGAGGAGAAGGGCTGCTGAGGCTCTGGGGTGTGAGGAGGAGGAGAAGGGCTGCTCAGTGTGGATTTAAAGAGAAGGGCTGCTGAGGCTGGGGGTGTGAGAAGGAGAAGGGTTGCTCAGTGTGGGATGTGTGGAGGAGGAGAAGAGCTGCTGAGGCTCTGGGTTGTGAGGAGGAGGAGAAGGGCTGCTCAGTGTGGATGTGAAGAGGAAGAGAAAAGCTGCTGAGGCTGGGGGTGTGAGGAGGAGAAGGGCTGCTCAGTGTGGATGTGAGGAGGAGAAGAGCTGCTGAGGCTCTGGTGTGTGAGGAGGAGAAGGGTTGCTCAGCATGGATTTAAGGAAGGGCAGGGCTGCTGAGGCTGGGGGTGTGAGGAGAAGGGTTGCTCAGTGTGGGATTTGAGGAGGAGGAGAAGGGCTGCACACTGTGCT